TGCTAATTGAGTTTCAGCATCATACAAACACAAAGAAGTAGTGACAAATGTTTCCAAACTGCAGGCGACAGTAAGATAGCCCACTTTTAATGACAAACTGGAGGAATTACTTATAAGATTTTATTATTTGGCCACTGTCTTCTGAGTGACCAAGCTATTAACTTAGTGGGAAATTTGGTTTTATTTCTTAGAATTTGTGTAAAATGACTTCTGTCTGCTGCCATTTCTCCCTCAGGCAGGATTGTCTTATCATCCTGCGCTTCAGATTTGCTGTCTCCAGTTTTACAGGCATCCTGGTAACCTGCAGTAATCTCAAACCAAATGTCACAGGATTTATACTGAATGAAAGTCACTTTAAGGTTGTGGGAGAAGAAGTAAGATGAGGATAAATAAAAATACTACAACATTTACAGATGCAGTAGACATGTATGATGACGATAAACTGTAGCAGGTTGGGTACAGTGGCTACTAATAAGGTGGCTGTGGCTCAGAAGGTGGAGCAACTCGCCCACTAATTGCAGGTTTAGCAGGTCGATCTACGGCCTTGGGTAAAACACTGTACCCCAAATTGCTCCCGATGGCCTGGACCAGCAGGGTACACCCTGTTAGTCTGTCAGTCCTGGATTAACTTAATCATCTGTGCCATAGAAAAAACACATCCATGAAACACACCATTAGGTGATATGTTTCTTCATTAGCCAACACCAGACAGAGCATGAGGAGCTAGCAGAAGGTAAATAAAGAACAGAGCTCATGTAAAATCTGACGCGCGCATGCACAGTCGACTCAGACTCATGCTAACTTTATGGCCGTTTGGAGCCTTTGGGCCAACATCATTGCATCTCCGGTTTCAATGTGAAAACAGTGCAGCGGTGTGTTTGCTTGATGTGTTACTGGAGATTGCTGAAAATACTATTAATATAGTCGATGACTGGCCTTATCCTTTAAAAACACAACCAGTTCAAAACTGAAACCGAGGCTTAATGTTTAAATCTTTTATTTCATCTCAGGAAAGGAAATGCTTCTTTTCACATCAACCTTAGTAATGAGAAAGATTGCTATTGTTCTGTAAGAAGACGCTTGTTTTGTGAAGGGGCACATTAAGATGGTTTCTGGAAGAGAGGAAAATGCTGAAGCTCAGTCTGTGCAACAGAACAAACACAAACACACACACAGAGACACTGAGCACACACAGTGGAACCCAGTGAGGTGAACAAATGAGTGTGGTAAACAAATCCATTAAAAGCCTGGGCGTGCCGAAGACAGACCCAGCTCGGTACTTGAAGTCCATCTGTTTGTTGAATCACAGCACTCCAACTTATCTGTGGGCTTCAGAGGGGAGCTGTCACTACGGTACATGCATTGCTTGATGGGGTCAGAGTTCCCTAATCAATGAGATGGATAATTGTGTGCCTTAAACGTGATCCTCCACGGGCCTGCATACATCAGAGGCTGCTGCGTGTGGAGACGTGGCGGGAGGCAGTGGAAGACGCACTCAACCAGAAAGCATCTGACAGAGAACAGTACAAATACACTGGTGATATTCAAGGAGAGGCATGGCATCATTTACAAATGTGTCACAAGCAGACAGACTCTCTTGTGGATGCTGAAGAGTAGGAAGACAGAGGGAGAGTGAAACATCCAAGTTACTGTAGCGTGTGAAAATGATTGAGCTCCTTATCATTTATATTTAAACTTTGTTGTTTTGGCTTCAGACTCATATTATTTTGGATATGAAAGGACAGCATGTGGTTAGAGGGTGGATTTTAGCTTAAATGTGATTCACTGAGGTGCAGCAGCACATCATGTCCTGTGGTACTATAAGGAAAACTGATAAAGAAAAGTACTTTTTGTAGCTCCCAGTGAGCTCTGTCACAGGAGCACGAGGACCCGATGATGGACTCCAATCACACAGTCACAGCTGACTAATATAAGATGGAAAAGGGTTAGACAGAGGAACAGAAACTATGATAATGACAGTCTCTCTAGCATATAGGCTCTGCAGAAGGCAAAGGCTGTTTACTGTACATAATATAATATTATTCAGCCACAATAATCTGTCCAAATGCTTTCGCCATTCTAAACAGAGAACGTGTTTTTTGTTTTTAAATCTATGGTCCAAATTGGCTGAAACTCCCCTCAGACTGAAGCTTACAATCTGTGCTCTTCACCTACTGTATTATTTCACATTTCAAAATAAGATGATGCCAAACTTTAGGCTTGTTAGCAGCTGCTCAGGGACCTACATGGCTGTGTTGAAGCAGACGTCTCATTCCCTGTTAATTTTAATTTCATTCTGATGTGAATCTAACAGGAAATAAGATGTACTGTATGTGTGTGCTCTGTCCTCACTCCCCAGAAACCAGGCTGCGAGAGGCATGTGATTACTTGTGTTCATTAATCACTGCAAACAATAATTAGCAATAATATTTAACTTTGTTTATTTAAAGTCTGTCTGGGGCTGCTGCTCCTGTTGTATCATAATCAGTTATGAAAAATTCACAATATTTTTTCAGTGTAAATTTCTTACTAATTTAATTTAAGCATTTGAGAATAAGTGAGCTAAACGTTTTTTAAAAAAGGACTAATAATGCCTATACAACAATAAATTCACAGTTCAGTATGTGTTCAGACTGTTTCAGACAGGTGCCGATTGAACTGTAGGGTCATTTTGGAGGCTATCACATTATATGGACAGATGCTATCATATTGTCCTCCCTATTCATTCTATGATGCTAGGCTAAATAAAGAAACATCTCACTGTGCTGTAAACAGTACAGTTCAACAGCAGCACAACCTACAGCCTTCAAAATCATCCTACAGTTGAATCAACATTATTGCATTGGAGAAGGAGGATTTATTGCAGGGCTTTTTCATCAGACAGAATTAATTATAGTGTAGTGTACTTATTAAACTGCCAAATGAGTGTATTTTAATGGCTGTCAAATTGAAGTTTTCTAATAATAATTTCATTCATTTTTGGAGTTAGTCCCCTCTGTGGCCTGATTTAAGATTTGGCCCTTGGCTGATGGTTGAAAATCAAAGCTGAACATTAGTATTATCTTTTTGTCAGAGAGCCACAGATGATACCTGGAGAGAACATTGTAGGACACTATACAAAAACACTAGGAAATAATCTGGGCTGAAGGTTGAAGGAAACTGGTACCTTGCAAAGTAAAGCATTTTACTTTTTAACCACTTTTCCCAAATTCATCACTGAAAATGTACTGTCAAGACATTCACCTACTAATCACTACAACAAATCTAAAAGGCTCTGCTCGGTGAAATCAATGTTACTAAATAGAGGAGAGGATGACACTGATTATTTACACTAGTCCTCCTGGAGAAGTTTTCATCAGATTCCATCCAAGGAGAAGTGAGGCCTCAGCACTGATGGAAGTGAAACACAAAATAGGGTAATACGTACAGTAAGACCCACACTTGTATGTCTTGTGTATCACATCAGTGACACCAGCTGCTTGTTATTCCATCCAGACAGACTCTTGAAAGAGGTCAAAATCATTTACTGACTTTTTTTTTAAATGAAAACAGTCCAGTGACTGATTTTCTCATTGCTTCATTACTGCAGCAAAGATATCATGAGACGCTATGAACTTTTTTTCATCATGAATTTATTTCCTCCGATGAAACAAAACATGTTACCTCCTCCTTCGGAACATCCTCCAGCTTTAATCTATACTATAAAACACTTTTAGGACCAACTGATTCAGACAGACATTGAAGGACACTGGCTGACCTAGAAGCTTTAAGGCTACAAACAACCCATAACCAGTACTGTCAAAAAGTACTTCTCATCTTGTCATCATGTAATCGTCAGGTTCTCAGATGTAAGGCAACCGCCATGTTTTATTCAAACCTAATTCTTCCATTCATGCTTATGTGGTTTTTATATTCACTATCCAAAGACGATGTATGTTTAGCTGTAACAAAGATGGCAGTGACAGTTTGCAGTGTTTCATATTCTGCTACTTTTTAAAGTCCATGTGCTTAGTGTTACAGTTTATTAGTATTATTATTGTTATTAGAGTTTTATTTCAGTTTTGGGAGCCTTCACTTTAGCAGTTTATCGCTGCTGTTTCTGCTGTGTGAGAAAGAGCAACTCCATTTTTGCCAATCAGTGATTTTCATGGTCTGTTATGGATTTGTAAGTTTGTTGTCTCAAAGGTAAAACCCCAAACTTCGTGTATAGTCTTAAAAATGCATGAGGCTCAATCTGAGAGGAGGACTTGTTTCCTGCTGGGGCCGTGAGCAGAGCTGTTGACCGAGCAAAAACGAAGGGAAATGGCTTGCTCACATTTTCATAGGTGCGCACATTCACATCTGGAGATTAAAAAGTTTTAAACATGCGTCAGGAAAGTTTTCTTGATTTTCTCCATATATTTTAATTAACCAACTTATCACACAAGGCAAAGGATATTTTTAGTCATTAATAAAACTTGAGTTAAAGCAGAAAAATGAAGCGTGTACTTAGACACTTGCTTTTTTCAGTCTCCTCCAGGGGTGACTTTGACTTAATAATCAAGTAATCTCTTATAATTAATTCTATTTTCAAATATCTATGAATCTCAGCAGCTTTGAAAAAAAGATTACCATTAAAAGGAAGAATATTTCAGCTGTGGTCAAATTCACAGTCTTAGCTATGATTGACACTGTTAAGACACTTTCTTACCTTCTGCACACACATGGCCTTCACCTCTAGATGAGTTAATAAAAACCTTAGTTTTATGCTTCATGGATCTTAGTGTTCTCTGTGTGTTGTGTTTTGTCCTGTGAGAGAAGAGACACACTGTTTTGCTGTGAGATCAAACATGGCAACCTCTTCTGTCAATGACAAACCCATGAATCAAATAGGCTTGGAAACAGATTCTGAATTACTGACTCCATGCTTCATCTTTACTTTGCATTTATCTGAAGTGTTTTTGAAGTTCAAGTATCTCACTCACACAACCTTGATGTGCTTTTTTTTTTTAACTCTGCAGGGTGAGTGCTCCCAGAGGTGCTATAATATCTTTGTGCTGGAGACGGTGTGTGTTGCCTGGTTCTCCCTGGAGTTCATTCTGCGATTCATTCAAACACAGAGCAAGTGTAGTTTCCTGCGTACCCCTCTAAATGTTATTGATGTGGTGGCCATCCTCCCCTACTACATTACCCTCATCGTAGACTCTCTGTCAGTGGGAGAGAAACCTGCAGGCTCAGGGAACAACTACCTTGAGAAGGTGGGGTTAGTTCTCAGAGTCCTACGAGCTCTACGGATCTTTTACGTGATGAGGTTGGCACGGCATTCCCTGGGCTTGCAGACACTCGGCCTGACAGTGAGGAGGTGCACACGTGAGTTCGGCTTGCTGGTGCTGTTCTTGTGTGTGGCCATGGCCCTTTTCTCACCCCTGGTGTTCCTAGCTGAGAGCGAGATGGGCGCCAAGCAGGAGTTCACCAGCATCCCGGGGAGTTACTGGTGGGCGGTCATCTCCATGACCACAGTGGGCTACGGAGACATGGTGCCCAGAAGCATCCCCGGGCAGGTGGTGGCGCTGAGCAGCATCCTGAGCGGCATCCTCCTCATGGCTTTCCCTGTCACCTCCATCTTTCACACCTTCTCTCGCTCCTATGTGGAGCTGAAAGAGGAACAGCGACGGTCGCTGAGGCAGAAGCTGGACTCACAGGACAGCACCAAGTCCCAGAACAGCGAGGACTCTCAGGAGACAGACAGTTATCATGGCCTCACAGAGGCCGCAGCCTCGTCCATTCACCAGAGGAAGTCCATGGCTTTGCACAGGACTGCTGAAATGAGAGCGTCCATGCAAACTTAGCTGTTCTACCCATCTGGGAAGGTGTAACACCCAGTACTGGGACTGCAAGGATGACAGCAGCAGGATTGTGAACAAGGAGGAGATTTGAGTGTGTGAAACGCTTGTATACCAGAGTTTTCTAGAGGAACTGCAGGCATCTTTCTTTCACAAATTTAACTTTAAAAGATGGGTAACCACACAATACTCATGATTAAGCTGCTGAGGTCAAATGAGATTAAAAACTGACTCAGTTCTCTCACTGACTGCGATCCAGACTAAATCTGCGCAAAAGGGAAATTTAATACCAAAACATTACATGTTGTTATTCAGACTAATAATTCATTTTTTCATGTAGCTGTATGTGAGAAGGTTGTTTGCTAAGATGTCAGACATGCGGTTTATTACTGCATCACCTCCATTCACTCTGTATTGTACCTGGCCAACCCAAACAATGTGTTGTTGGCGTGGCTCTGTTACATAAGTGTAATACATGTACATGATAATATCAGCACAGTTATTTGCAACAAAGCAGAACTAATTAATCTCTAACATAATAACACAAAACTAATTTATCTGCCAAAGGGCTACACAGTGTGTTGGGAGGTTTGGTTCACTGGAAAATGATGAGAGTTGATCATACCACTCTCATCTGCTTGATAGCTCACATGCCGATGCTTTAAAAGTTAAAATAGCTTGACATCTGGGGAAATGCAGTTCATTACATTTTTTATTTTTTTATTTTTTATTGCTATAGTCAGATGAGAAGATTGATATCACTCCAATGCCTGTGTGCTAAAAATGAAAGTGTGGCACAGATTATCTTAGTTTAGCATAAAAACAGGAAATGTAGGTAAGACCTGGGCCGTTCGTCCAAATACAGGTTTGACAGACATATTTATTTAGTAGGTTTTGTAGGAGAGAAGATGAATCCTAAGGAGTTTGGTGACCCTTAGAATTTTACAATGTGCTGTAGAGTAAACTAAGACTAATTGCAAGTTCATATTTTTCACTTTTTGGATATGATATCCCTTTTGATTATTATGATCGCTTTGAGAAATGGACATTACAATATGTTGGTGGACACAAAAATATTGAATAATTCTTTAATCTAAACAACACCAGTCAGAAGAGCAACCATCAAAAAGTCTGAGCTGTGATTTGATTGTCTTCAAAGTGGCTAGCTGGCTGTCAAATATCACCCATAAAGTCTAAACCAATTTCAGATATTACAAATATTTTTCAGTCCTAGATGATTTCCTCACATAAATGCAAATTCAGCACATCATTTTCTTTGACTTGAGTGCCTTGTACTTTGAAGTGACGCACTAAAAAAACCACGTACCCAAACTGCTGTCGGGTTGGAGCAGACAAAAGTAGAGTACCAGCTCAAGAGTGCACATGAGGTTCACATATTTTCAGTATACAATGCAGGTTGTGAGGATGTATAGTCTGCCAACTCTGAACTGCAGTCAGTGACTAAGTGAATCATTAAAAAGCATGACATTATTACACAGTGCACACTTAAAAATCACTGTATGTACAATATTTAGGTTTTAATGAAAGCATTGTTTTGTTGAGGAATAGATGGCGCAGTGACATCATTGCTATAGAAATCCAACTTAAAACTAATTTGTACTTTGCGTAATGAATCCATAGGGAATAGCTTTTTTGGAAAATGTAATAAAGATTTAAACAAACAGTCCCATGTGGAAAGGCTTTGATTTAGAAATGTATTACACACAAGGACACTGACGATATCTGAAAGGCAGTGTGTGCTGTATTTTTGCACTGAGAACATCCTAAAGTGGTTTGTGTGTAACTTGGTTCATGTTTTTATTCCACATCCATTAATAATAAATGAATTCTGTTCCCAGGAGTAACGCACTGTAAGCTTGATAAATACTGACAGTGCTTCAGTGAAGTGTTAAACTAAGAAGGAGCATGTTCTCCTGTTCACTGTTAGTGCTGTTGAGGTCAAACCAGAGATCAGGCTGCTAAAGGGAAAAAATAGGACCTGAGCTGAATTCACTTTATGGCTGTCATCATCTGTCACCTTACATTAGCTGCCAGTTACCTGTGGACACACCTGGCAAACACTAATTTATTTGGAGTAGGTGTATTACCAGCCCAAGGTTCATTAGCCCATCTTCATGTAGCTTTGATAAAATATCTGGTCCTTTAGCTGCTAAATGTTGCATTATGCTCACCAGTTAGTTGCTAATACTTATAGCAGCTTTAAGTATAAAAACTCCAAACATTTCAGCCTCTTCGGGTACTGTAGCACTGTAGTCACTGAGTTTAGTAACAAGTTATTGTAAGCAACTCTTACCTTAGAGGAGCATATCAGTAAGAATCCTCACTATCACTGCTGGTTTGATGAGATTTGAGGTGATAGCGCTATGTGCAGCACAAGGCACTGGAGGGTTTGCAAAACTTGGCACTAGAAATTCTACAGTTTTTACCACACTCTCTCGCTCCTGCTCGTTCACCTGGAGCACTGAGCACAGTTCAGATTTTTATTCTGAGGACTGTTGTCGATGAATTCTTGACCTTGATTTTAAATAAGAGATAAACAAATTTCTGTTAGTGAGGGCTCATGTGGCTGGCTGGAAATACTTTCTGTGCATATGCACAGAACTGTACTGCTGATAAGACAATTATAAATTCATACAGGTTGCTGTTTTCCACATGAATACAGCAAAATCTACAAAAATGGGGGAAAAGATGGAGAAATGTTATTCTAATCTGTAACAGGCAGACATGTCTCATAGATTAGGTAAGTGGCATATTGAAAGACTTTCATTTTGAAAATGCCGTTTCCTCCTTCTTGGCTGGTACATGTATTATCTGTCTCCTCCCTGTGCCAGTGGAGAGCTTGACGTGAGAGCCAAACACATTACAATTTATGTGCTTTACACTTCACATAGCATATGCACAAAGTCCAAAGAAGGACCACGGTTGGTGGACTTATCCTTCCCCTGACAGCTGATGACTGCCAGAGCTGCACTGCTGATGAGAGCAACAGCAAATGTCCGCACAACCGACACAAACATCTCCATCAAAGAAAACATGACGCAGGGTCTCTCTTGTCCTCTTTATTGGGTCACAATGCCAACTTAGTTAAAAAGTTACTGAGATGGACAACTGGCTGTTTAATTTAAAAAAGACACACAAACTAAGAAATATAACAAAAATGGCATAAAAACATACTTGTAACATTTCGGGTACATTAACACAGTAGGTGTGGGTTTCAAAGAAGTGACAATGCAAAACATGGCAGTTTCTATAGAAAGAAACATAAAATAAATTAGCCTAAAGAACACAAAACAAGTAGTAAAGTTAAAATCAGATACATGGAACGATACTGTGAAACTCTGTCATTTTGTGCTTGTCACATTTCTCGCCATACAACACAATGACCTGAATAACACAGTCTGAATAAAGAATATCTCCCACTGGCATTTGAAGATAATAAAAAAAGATAACAAAATAAATAGGTAGGCTAAATAAGTGTAAACAACAAGAAACCAAGGAGTCATCCACTATGTCCTTTTAATATTTAAGAAAAGAGAAATATTTAAAAAAAACTTTCTTGAGGCTGAAAAGAGGTCGACAGAATCAGGTCTGGTACGCTGAAGGACAGACGGTCATACGCCTCCTGGTTTGGCATTTCTCCCCCTCCCAAGAGAAAACAAATTACAAAACAATAACATAGACAACCTTCACTGGGGCTGCATTACGTGGCTGCTCTCCCTCTGAACAGGAAATTAATTTCTCAGGACAAAACGGGGAACCTGCCCAAAGGAGCAGCACAACACACTGATGTGTAACAGTAACAAGGGATGTTTCTGGACTTGGCCAGTCAGTGTTTTCTGGTAATATGATGGAGGGAAAGATATGATTTTATTGAGCGTATTCAGGAGTATCAGTGTGTAAAAACTATGTGAACTCCTCTAGAAGGACCATTCTTGTCAATGAGCTTCTTCATTTTGGTAATCAAAAATGATTTCCTCATACCTGGATCTTAGCACTTTAGTGATTATGTTTTTTTTTAATTACACATAAGAATGATGTTCAAAATAAAATCTAATATCAACCTGACTGCAGTTGATTGAATTCATGTGTTACAGGTTGATTTGTTTTTCCCATCCTGCTGATGCTGCATGAATGCAGCACAAAACTGTTAGAAATCATGCTTAGCTTTGAAAGAGCTGCCAGCTTAGCTGAATCAATTCAATGATGATACTATGTGTGTATGAATAAGTCCTGTTTTCATCCTACAGGTGTGTTTAGACTGAAGGAAAAGCAGTCTTCACCTGGGGTAACTTAGATAAATTAGACCACTGCAATCCCTCTTTATTCTCCTGAAAACCTACCATAAAAGCAACAATACAAACATTAGCTGTGGCTAGTTAGCAACCTACGCAGCAAGCTTGTGTGTGTGTGTCAGTGTTTGTGTGACAGCTCCTACTCTGATCTCAGAACTCAGC